AGACATTATTATAAATTAAAACACACAAATATGAGAAGTTATAGCTCATATCAAAATAATACAACCACCAACTAAAAAAGTGGGAAAGTGAGAAGACAAGTCAGAAGACCGCCTCGAACCACACCTAGCCAAGCTAGAAACCATAAGACGAGACTCAAATACGACTAACACAACAAACACTAAAACAAATCAACACAAAGCTCTCAACAAGAGAATAGGAACGATCCCAAGGGATAATCCCTGCACATAGGCGGGCTAACAGAGGAAAAACGACCCAAACCAAAAACACAAGACAAACAACGCGAACACAAACAACACAACCAAAACACAAGAGAAAGCAACACAAACACTAACAACACACTATGACGAAAACAAATAAACTATATTAGCAGCAGATAAAGCCCTACCCCAACAATACTAACGGGTCGAACCATCGAATCCAATAAAGACCCAAAGCCCAAGGGACCGCGACCAAAACTGTCGAAATGCCTATACAGAAGCCAAACCCGAGCCTCGAATCAAAACTAAAATCGACCCATCCCCAACTGGAGGAACCACGAATCGACTCCCCCCACCAGGCGCTGCCCGAACTCGCCTAACACCACTAGCCGAGCGCCGAAGCTCCAACACCCCATTCGTCCCCATCCCCAGAGAACCGAGGAGGTGAGAGCAGCTTGGCCCCTCAACTCCGACCACCGCGACATGGACGTCGCAGCCGCCAGAGCCACGCCCCATCCACTCACACTCGCACCGCCCGACCGCTGACCGGAAGACGGCGACCAGATCCCACACGACCCCTCAAGAGATGGCGACGCCGTTCAAGAAGAGACCTCGTCATATCACCAATCGCAGCTCCGACATCACCACAGAAACTGGAATCCGGCGACAGAGCCCACAAAGCCCGCCCAGAAAAAGCGAAGACGGCCATGGGACAACTCCCGCAGACCACCAAACGCTCAAAGGGGTACAATGTCAGGGATGAGCCGAGAAGTTAAAGACGACCACTGGCCAGGTCCCCGCCGTTGCCGAGGAAGGCAAACGAGCACTAATTTGAGGTTACGCCAGCGGAATTAGTGATTGGGGTTTTTTTCGCCCGAAATAATGCAAAACGGTGCTCATAAAAAAAAGTATTGTGGACTAAAAAGTTCTTTTACTTATTTATTTTAATTTAATTGCAAAATTGTAACATCAATTATTTAACAAAAACTACTAAATATATTTTTTAGTTTGCTTACAGTAGGATCTAATTTTTTTATATCGTGATTATATCACAAATACGTTCCTCTTTAGTTTCTTATAAAATTAGGCACATACTTGGATTTTACTTTAAACTTCTAACAACTAACTAAACTAAGTTCTTGGTGCTAATGAATGAAGGTCCCTGATGGCGGTCTAGCCTTGATTCTCCCTTCTCCAATTGGGTTTTAAATGAATATTATCTGTTGGCAGCTATAAGATTTTCTGAAAAAATTATAAGTGCAACATACTAAATTGTATTAATATGATTTTTGGCACTAATAAAAACAATTTTTACAAACTTGATCTTTTCAAACAATATTTTCGAGACTTTAACGTTCTTTTCGTTTTTGAAACGAATCCATACAGACATAATCTCACGATGCACATAATCACTAGGATGTGTCTCAAGAATCTGGTGAATCGTTTGATTCATAGACTCCTTACTCAATCCATCATTTATAAATGCTATTTTATCTTCTCGATTTTGGACACGAACCCCATTGATTTATATTGTATGTCACAAGTCCTCTGACAGCGCTTGCGTGATGGCTCCGGTGTTTGCCCCGGGAGGAGGGGGGAAGGGGGGGAGAGCCTGTGAAGTGGAGCGGCCTAGGCGGATCTGCGAATTTTCGAGGGCGGTTGTAGGATCTGCGGTCCGATTCTAGTTAGTCCATTAGAGGAATTGTTGGTTCTACTGTGTTTGGGATGTAGTTCTTGTGACTTCTCTCAGGTGTTCGCGTTTGGGTGCTAGTTTGGGTTGTGTTGGTGCCGAGTATTCCTATCTGGTTGGGAGGACGTTAGTTCTTGTTGCGTTTTTTGTATAGTGGTTTTTGTTGTCTTTGTGTTTTTAGTTTTCTTGTTTAGTTGTATGTTTTGTTCGGTGTTTTATTCTCCTGTTGAGAAGAGTTGTTATATTTTTTTGTTGGGAGCTAGTGTTTTTTAGTGATGTTATTTTGTGTTTAGGTTTGTTCTAGGCTGTCCCGAACTAGATGCTATGGGGTTAGTCCTCCCTACTTGATTCAACCGAGTAGCTGATTTATTCGACAATTTAGCTGATTTTTAGTCTGTAATTGCATGTCTTTCTTTATTGAAGTTTATCATTTCGAAAAAAAAAAAAAATCACATGATATTCCAACAATATTTTGTGTTGTATGAAAAAAATATGTGAAAGTGTTGCCTCACGAAAGTTAAAAATAGCTCAACTAATTAAGTGGGTCAAAATATTCAGAAGATAAAAAGAATGACTCAACTAATCAAGTAGTTCAAAATATTGAAGAAAAAGAAACATTTGCAGTGTAGTAACCAAAACCTACTCTCAGGTTTAATAACCTAATAAGTACTTCCAAATACATAAATTATAATTTAATAAATAACGGTGTTAAAAATAATATTGTTATGAAACTCTTAATATATATAGAATAGGTTGAAATACTATAAAATCCCTAAAAATGCACTAGTAGCAAAAAAAATGTGGCTGTCTTTTTTGTTTAATTTTTTTTGCATTAATAGGTTACATTTTATTTTTGATTTTTTTGAGTCACATGTTTATATTACAGTTGTACCTTTTGCCTCTTTATTTTTTTAAATTTCTTATTCACATTAAAAAATAATAATAATAATAATACTCTTGGTCTTTTTTACTATTTTTTTCCTTCATATCAAATTAGTCACTTTTCAACAATGTTTGACCGAGCACCAATAGTGAATGTATACGATAAGCGAATATATTTATTTTATTATTTATATCAATAGTGTAAAAATAATAAATGAACCTACAATTATTTCATATAACATATTATAAATGAGTATTAAACAAATTGAATGTGAAATAATAAAATAAATTTATAGTATGTCCATCTCACATAGATTTGAAAATTTGCACTAAAAAAAAGTATAAAATGGATGTAAACATATTATAGTATGATACACCCATCTTTGCTTTTCGAACATCATGTAATGTAATACTGCAATCGAACCGAAGAAAGTTGAGCAAAGGCACACGTTTGATGGATTGAATAAGCAAATATAATGTCAAATGCTACGGAGCTGCATAATCATTCGATATCAATCCAGAGTCTACCTGAAATTAGCTTAAATGATACGTTCGTAGGCCCAAAAGTCTGAGCACAAAATGATTTATTAGTTCCAACCATTGAAGAATCAACTGCCAGTCCAAATGTTCTCACTCCCTGCACTATTTGATCTCCAAATTTGTATCTAGTCAGATGCCACCTGTCCACACAAAAAAAAAAAAAAAAGAGTCGAGGTTTACAACTAAATAATATAGAAAACAAGAATCCCGAGAGAATATGAGGATACCGATCTTGATCTGCTCCTGCTCCTGCTCCTGCTGGGACTAGCACTTGGACATTTGGGACGAGACTGTAACACCAAAATTATATCCAAAGAAAAATAGATATATTGCAAGAGACACAAATAATGCTTACGAATCTACTTCAATTATATCAATGGCGCGTAAGAAGCTTGCAGGATTGACACTTACAGGCGATGCTGAATGGCGAGATCTTGACGGAGATCTGAAAAGTTTGCATTGTATCATCATACCAAATTCAGAATAAACAATTAAAAGCTTTTAACCAATAGAAAATGAAGTTGGGCACAAAAGAAGGTCCAGAGGAAAAACAACTTTGACTAGTCATTTAATTGGATTGGTGGCGGCAAGTATGTGCAGTGGATCAGAAGGAGACTTCAGAAGCCAGAATTAAACTCTCAACGTTTATACTCTGGTGGCTTTGGAAGGCTCGAAATCTTTAATGGAAACCCGAGCACTACATAGTAAGACTGGCAGTCCGGGAGTGGTTGGTTTTCAGAGCAATTAAGGAGGCTCAGGCTACTCCGCTACGGGAAGGTAAAGGGGATTATTTTAGGACTTCGGTTAGTGGTTTAATCTCCCTTTATGCTTCGGTTTAGTTTTTCTTGATAGCTGTTTTGGTGTAACTAAAGGGCTCAGTTTGTATCAACTGCTTTTAGTTATGGTATGTTTAGTTTAGTGTTGCTCTAGGTCACATATGTGGTTCTCTCATTCCACTAGGCTTGTATTAGGGGCTTGTACCCGGATTGTATTTGTACATTGTCTTTATGGCTTAATGAGATTCTCCAATCGTTTAGGGGGGGAAAAAAATCTAATTGGGTTGACCACAGGTGTCAATGCAGCTCATGACAATTGACATCAGCAAAAGCAAACCCAAAACCCAAGAAAATTATCTATGCTAACAATCAAGAATAAATAGCTGCACATTGCGCAGCCACCACCAATAAACAGAACTCCAAAAATACAAACAGCGAATAAAATTTATGTCAATCATAAAGCGAAATCCATTTTTCGTTCGTCGACTAATCATCCTTAAATCCTTTAACTACAGAAATGAAAATGTACCATCTACGTATTTGCTGCAGGTGCTCATCGACTTAACAGCCCCGTCTTTGCCACAACGGAAGTGAGTCGCATGAAACTGAGCACCGCAAGCCATCAAGTTCCTAACATGCAAATCCCCAGATTGCCACCAAATCTAGAAAACAAAAGGGTTATCTTTATGATCACTATTACCATTAGTGCCTTAAAGCCCACTTTTCGTTCTCAACAAAATGACCCTCTGCTTTTAGAGAATAGGTGATCGGGAATACAGCATATGAAAATGAAAGTAAATTTTCCAAAACCACACACATATTTTCAGGAAAAACTTGTGAATTGTCCATATTATGGTCTTCGCTTGAACTCGTTTTGTTGTATTGCCTTTCCATTTTCTTTTTTTTTTTTCGTTTTTGAAGGATGAATACAATAAATAAAATAAAAATGGCCATATATATCTCAACATAACTAAACACGATAGTGAAAAATAAGTTTGTTGTGGGTAATTGTTATTTAGTGCTTTGATATATTCCATATTCCTCATGTTTATGCATATTCCCATTTCTTCCAACCCACAAGTCCCACTTCCCCCTGTTAGCCCAAGTAACTAGGTCATAGTACACAGGTTCACAAAGGGGTAAGTAAAAATGGCATAAGCCACCAAATAGAAAAAGCTAACTCAAGCAAACAGAGATACTGCATGTTTGACAAAGAGTGGTCATTACACCAAAAGCCAAAGCATTATTCACGCAAACAACGTACTATAAAATACAAGAGATGTCAAATGGAATCAGAATCATCATACCTTGATACACCATGCCGAGGTGACTCAGATCCAGATCGTGAAGCAGCTGACACTGAACGAGATCTAGATGAAGCATGACGATAATGCTTACCCCTAGGAGACACACTGTAGAGTGAATCAGTTACAAGTTAAAATGCCAAGATCGACCAAAAAGAAAAACTGAACAGAGAGAGAGAGAGCGAGATTTTCATACAAGAAATCTAGTATACCTTCTACTCCTCCCCCTATAGCCAGGGCTCCTGGAGACACTTCTGCTTCTTGAATAGGGACTCCTACTTGGACTCCTGGAATAACTGCGTCTTGCTTCATACTCCTCAACCTAAATATATCAAAATGAATGAGTAACCATCTATTCAAGAAGCACAGAAACAAAATTTCTGAACATACCCGTATATAAGCACGAGAATATTGATTTCGGAAGAGAGAGTCATCAAGCTTCCTTATCTACATGCAGATATGGGAAATGATCACACAACAAGTCATACCAATCAATGGAAGTACAAAAATGCCAAATAAAGCAGCAGCAATAAAGTGACACTATAATGCTTGGTTAGTTTTCACGTAGGGTATATAATTAGCTCACCGCATATTTCATGTCACTGTAGTTTGTATAGTCAACAATGCCTCGCATGCCTAGAATAAAATTACAGCCATCAGCAAGCTATAAAAGAAGACATATGGCATAAGATAAATAAATAGTTCAAACTAAACAAGATTTCGTAACAATTAAAAGATCGTGGAACTGAAAAACAGACAGATAGCTAGCATGGTGTTCGTTTTCAAGATCCACCAACTTATAGATGGATCACATGAGAAAAATTGGATGTGAACAGTTGGGAAGCGAAAATGTAGATGAATGACATAATGATACATTAAAGTCTCTAAGAGGACTTAATGAGAGGAATATAAGATAAGTAGCAAAATTAAATTACAGACAAATGAACACTCAGTCAAAATACTACAAAGTAGTATTATCTATCTTCATATCCAACCACAGCCTTATTGTTCCTCTATTTTCTTTAGCTTCATCAAAAAGAGTTCAAACAAACATCAATTATTATACAAGGATGAGTGGTTTTGTAAAAAATTGCACAGGATTTAAAAAGTCCTTAATATTTGATATAATATTAATGGTAACAGTGTAATTGTGTAATCTAATATAAAAGCTATATATACTTAGACAAAAGCACTCTACTGAAAATCTAATCCAACAAAGATAACCGTTTAAACTAATTAAGAAAGTTAAGGAGCATGATTTAATTTAAACTCTATGATTATCTACAGATTAATCAAGAATATTTCAAGAATCATGATATGTCCATTGTCCATACACTTTTGAAATTGGTTTTTCCATGGAGAAACACCATTATAATACTTTTCAGTTTTTAAATAATGTATTTTCAGTTTTTATCTTTAGTATTAATGCATTTCATGTAAACAAACAAAAAAATTTTAAATGTAAAATAATGTAAAATGCTAAAAAAAAGTGTACTGCAAATCGGGCAATCACATATAATTATACTTTTTAGAACAATTTAAATAACTATCATGAAAATTATGATAATATCCAAAAATACTAATGTAAATCACGGAATCACAGATATTTATACATAATGTAAATGGTTATTTTGAAAATTATATCTCTTCTTAAATCACATATATTTATGCATACTGTACATGGTTATTTTGAAAATATGACATTTCATCTTAAAACACAACCAACTAAACAAGCATATTGTATTTTATCAATGAACGTTTGTTCATGAGAAGTATAAAGTATTTAAATCTTGTATCTTCTTATCTTACTTTATACTTTATATGGATCACATGTCGCCATCGTGCTCGATGCAAGCACATATCATCATTCAAATTTAAATGCTTTAAATTATTTTTTATCGTCTCTTTCCAAGTTTTCTTCGGTCTACCCCTCCCCCCTTTTAATTTGATTTCTTATTTCTAATGTTTCTACCAATATCATTGGTGCCTCGAAGTCTCATACGCACATGCCCAAACCAACTTAAACGTGATTCGCTCATTTTCTTCTCTATGGGAGTTACCCAACTTTATTTCTAATATTTCATTTTTAATCTTATCTAATCTAGTATGCTCACACATCTATCTCAACATTATCATCTATGTCACTCACATTTTTTTATCATTTTCATATTTACTAACCTAACACTCGAATCCATAAAGCATCATCATTTTCATATCGACGACGCGCTCCTCCACTTGTTTCAACCCGATTGAATTCTATTTGTTACATCCTTATAGTGATGTGATATAAAAAAATAAATAAATAATTATACTGTGATAGTGAAATAGGTTTATAATGATTGGTAGTTAAAAATATGTGAGTTGACGAATAATAAATTTTACTGTTAGACATGTAGTAATAATTATTGTGTAAAATATATTAAAAATGAGAGTGTAAAAAAGAGAAAAAAAAAAGTGAGATGAATGAACTGTGTTTTTTTTTTTAATTCAATCTCACAATAAAATGTTTTTTTACGAATGTTAAGATACTCGTAAAATAGACATTTAAAGTACTACTTTTATTATTATTCCATTATAATTGTTTGCTATTAAAATAGTTGGACACAATATAAGAGTAATTAGAATAAAGCTATTAAATACAAAGCTACATATTAATCAGTGTTTTACTAGTACTGTAGTACTACATATAAATATTTCAATAGTTATTTACTAGTTATTTACTGATAGTAAAAGTTTAAATCATCGACTGCAAAAGTACAATAAAAAAAGCACTTTATTGATACATGTCACTAGTAGTAGTAGTAGTAGTAATAATAATAATAATAATAATAATAATAATAATAATAATAATAATAATAATAATAATAATAATAATAATATTAGATGACCGGGTCGCAAAGTATAAGAAAAATGTATTTTAATGATATTTTATCACTATAACAACAATAATAATTCATCAAAATCATACCTTTAGAAAATCATACCTTTAGAAAGCAGTTCATAAGTAACTTTAAAATTATATGAGCTATATAAGTTGATTTTTTAAATGATTTCAAACTCACGTGATTACTTTAAAACATTTTGATTGGAAAACTAACAAGAGTCTTTTCATTTAAAATTATACTTTACATGATGTAAAGTCAGCAACCGCAAGAAAATATATTACCAACATAAAAACACGCCGGATAAATAAAAGTTGATATCATAAAATTAATGTTCTTAGAATCAGGGAAAGGATGTGACATAATTTTTAATTTGGAATTCATGTGGATTCAATAATTCTATTTCTAAATTATTTTTCCACTTACAAGGAGAAGAAACGCCTAAATACTATACTATAGAGGAATGAACATACATTCATCAAGTGAATTTTAGTTTTTAAATCTTGTCGATCATAAATTGTAGGACACAGTATGAAAGTTGAACATGGGGGCGAAAGTAATTTTTAGGTTCAACCTACACGACATGATGGGGTAATCAAAGAAAACTCGTCAAATTTTTCAACTAGCCCAAATGATGTACAATCGGATAAAGGAGCACCATCAAAAAGATAATAGGAATAAAAAAAAAAGGAGCACCATCAAAAAGATAATAGGAATTAAAAAAACAAGCTAAAAGATGAAAAAAACAAGATAAAAGAAGTTGGAAATAATAGTTCCATTAAAAAATGAAGATCTTGAGAGAATCGTGAGTCTTAAAAATATGGCGAGGATAACATCAAAAGCAAAGGAAAGAAATCACACGCATAGTCATAAGAAAATAAAAAGCTGAAGCATTTGTAATATACATTAGGTACTAATTTAGTTATATCTCTTTATTCATTTACTTTTTCATCTTTGCACCGAAGCATTAATATGTTATTTCAATCCTTTTCTATTAGGATATGATTATGTAGTTCTATTCTAATATACAATGACTAATTTTATTCTTTGTATTATTTCATTCCTACAGAGATAATTACTAAATTTATCATTTTTTCATATAAGAAAATTAACCGGTAAAAAAAATTAATCAAGTACATCGCACGTGCACTTTATTAATGATTTAAAAAGAGTTCATGTATGCTTACCATCACGATCACGGTAAACCTCCGAGAAACCAACATCTCCTGCCCGACGCATGTGATCCTATACAACCGTAATCATTAATAAAAGAATTCACATTACCAAAATAAAAAAATGTTACGACAACAAGATGTTTGCGGTAGATTACTCAACAATCACTTTCTAGTTCCATTTTTGCACAGCACAATACATAAAACAATGCAAGTGAAAACTGATTACCTTCAAATCTTGCCATGAAGCAGAGGAAGGAAGGCCAGTCACCAATACTACAAAACATTGTCAAGAATATTTGGTGACATGCTAGAAATCCAGATTAGCTAAGAAATAAGAATAACAAAAATGATCCGTGCAAGCATCTCTTACCTCGGTAGTCAGAACGTCTAGAGGGTCCGCTACGACTGCTCCCGCGACTATAACTACTGTAGCGGTCATACGACGACCCTCGGCCTCCATGAGCAGGTTCAACCTAAACCGGACAAACCACATAAGGAAAATGATAAGACACGGCTGACTACTTTTTTTAAAAAGTTTATACATAAATAACATATAACTCACCCGCAATGGACAGCCATCAAATTTATAACCATCTCGGCCACGGATAGCATCATCAGCATCTCGAGAATCTTCAAACTGAAACACGAAATATTATAGAATATTATTACACAAATGTAAAACAGATATCCCAAACTAAACCATCTGAGTATCTGAATGGATAGATTCTCCCCCACTGCCAGTCCACAAACCTATAAGTATTTCTATGACACGAAATATGATATATCCTACCACATAAATAGTTAGCTCCCACAAATTTAAAAAGGGTAAAGGTACTCACCTCAACAAAAGCGTAACCAGGAGGTTTTGGAGGGATTTTTAAGTCAATATTAGCAATTGGTCCATACTGCGAAAAAGTACCAAGGAGAGATTAACAATTAAAACGACCATCATATCATCAAACAAGGCAAAGGGGAACGGGAACATACTTTATAAAATGAACTACACTGGTTAAAGAAAGAAGATTCCCACATTTAAGTTGTTTAAGCATGATGTATGATGTGCAAGCAACATGAACAATGCAGTCTTATGATCTTATCTGATGCGCAATAAATCTAGATAATAAAGGAGAAGTACCCTATCACAACAGTTCAGCAGGAAATGAAGGTGGGTTGGGTGGTAGTTAACATCTTTTTGTTTTCATTTCTCTTTCGTTTCATCTTCCAGTTCCAATTATTCACATTTTTTGGGGAAGAAGGTTTATAATGTTGTTCATCCTATCAACAAATTATTACTACAGAATAGAAAAATCTATGGCGTGTCAATATACGTATTTCAACATTAAAGACATCAATGAAAAACCAAAAGTACTAAAGAATTAACACCCCCAAAAAAAGATATATACGTATGTATAGCCGATATTGAAATAAACCTTGTAAAACAAATCCTCAACTTCACTCTCACGAATGTCACTGGGAAGATTACCAACATAAATAGTTCTGCTTGATCGCCCCATCCTTCCTGAAATATACATCATAATTCATGTCTTAACAAACACTTGAAAATACCACATCAAGGTGGAAAGGTATGCAGAAAAAAACAGCAAAGATAAAATCGGATCAATTTAACTCAACTCTCCACACCCCCCTCCAATATAGCTCATTCAACTCCTACGGTCCTGTCATCACTGTGAGACTATAAAATAAACCTCACCAGTTAAAACCTTCATGAGTTGGCCAATCGGTCTTGAGTTTAAAACATTCACAAGATTTAACATCCTAAGCTAAGCTTGTTTAAAGTAGCTTACTCCGAATTCTTTGCATATTGCATTGATGTGATATACGTCAAATTAATTTCAATGCCTATGCCAAAATAAACTTAAAATGATTTAAATAGAAAATAACACTCATTTGTCCCATCATCATTCTACAAATTATTAGATCTTGATTCTTGATATTTAGTTTAACAGTCCCATTCCACTGTGTTTTTTACTTTGATCTACAAAGCCTAATTCATGAGAATATCCCTAAATGACTCTTCACCCGTCCCCCACAGCTACGGCCAATCTGATTCTTCCCTAAACATCTCTCAGACGAAAGAAAAACAGAAATACGTCATACATTTTCCAATTATGAACTGAACCTTGTTATTTTTCAACAGCCTTTATTTTCATGATTCATCCCTAACAAAAATTAAACTACCATAACACAATTTCTTTTCTTTGACGACAAACTGTAGATTGCCATTATGCATATATCACGACACAATCCCTAAGAACTGAAAAATCAAATAGAAAAAAAAAAAAAAAAAAAAAAAAAAAAAAATCCATTCTTTCATCTATCATGGCTTCTGCGGGTTTTGGGTATATATATATATATATATATTGGCTGGCCACTTCAGCAGGGAAACTACCGAACTCCACGAATGTTCTTTAATCTCTTAATTACCGAAGAGCAAAGGTCATTAAGGCCGCCATTTACACAATTATTAAGCATAAAAAAACACAAATGGCTATCCAAAAAAATCCGAAAAAAGGAACAAAGGCACAATTTTGCATGAAAAACAAAAACTAAAAGCTAATAAATAATACTTCCCCAGTAAACATAATTGCTCATCAATTATTAAAATTAAAAGATAGGACTCGATTCGATTTCGTACAAAAAAAAGGGTAAATGCCGAAATCGATTAGAGCCGCACCAAAACTGAAGAATCTCTTGTTCAGAACAAGAAAGCATCTTCAAATACACGGAGAGAGAGAGAGAGAGAGAGAGAGAGAGAGAGAGAGAGAGAGAGAGAGAGAGAGAGAACCTTAACAGCTCGGAGGAGTGAAACGGAGGTAGAATGTTCCAGAGTCAGCACTCAGGTTGGGACACAAAAACATGTGAGCAGGCAAAGCATTATATAAAATAAAATTGAGGAAAAAAAAAAAGATGGGAAAATTAGGCTGCAATCGGTTATAGAAATACTTTTTAATTGAAATTGAAATTTTTAAAAACTTTTTTAGACTTCTCAATTTTTTTAAGACTTGATTGAGGCTGCGTTTGGCTAAAGGAATAATCTGTTATTTCTAATTGACCGTAAATTGTTTTACAATTCTTTAACTCAAAATTCAACTCAAATTTAATGCAACTTTATTTTCAAACATTATCAATATTGATATGGGATACCACACTGGGTCGCCACGACCTGAGAAACGGTCTAATCTAACCAAGCGGACCAGCAGGTCGATTGGAGATCGAAGAAGTTGGAGGTCGTCCGAGTACCAAGTCGATGGTGACTACACATGTAAGGAAACTCGTCATCAGGTCGAACTAATGCCTTCGTATGGCCTGGTAGAAACTCGATCCGGAGGTATATAGGTCGATGGCTCGACTAAGGGACATAGTACGCGAATACAACAAAAAGACAATTTAGCTCGAGGATAGCTGAGCTAGTCGTATGAGTAGACCATCTAATAAGACAGACTAGGAGATAAGAAAGAACATTATTAAGATAAGAACCCATGTGAACAGGGTCTCAATTTGGGTATCTGGATAACACGAACATGTAGTTTGGGCTGCAGTACAGTCTATCCAGGTAGACTTGGTCAGTAATATAACACGTCTATATCAAGGGTGAGGTATAGCAATTCAAACTCTAAGCACTCAAACATACTTACAAGTTACAAGCTTGTCAGTACTGTTCATCGTTTCTGGACACTTTCTCACTTGATAGACGGAGGCTCTACGCCGAGATCACTCTCGTCGCTATTTTGTAGGTCTTTGAATTGGACGCGAGCAGATCCAAGGACATTCAAGTAAGTCGAGGTCATTGAGCACACCATTTTGGCATCGTCTGTGGGACGTCATTAGGAAAATCATCAAACCACCACTATTCATGGCGAGCAGTGTTCTAGAAGTCTGATGCGCATGAGGGTCGTCACCACTATTCATGGCGAGCAATGTTCTAGAAGTCTGATGTGCATGAGGGTCGTCGTCTGAAGAATGCATATAGTCGGGCTCGACGTGCGCGAATTAAAGTACAAAAAATGAAAAGCTTCCAGGGTGTCACGCTGCGATGAACAAGAGGGCTCGCTGTCGCGAGGATCTTAACGAAGCCAAATGCTGACCAGGGGTTAACGTCACGAAGGCCAGGCGGCTTCTCAAAGCGGGAATAGTTATTTTATCGTTTTTGTTTGAATCTCTAAGGATTGTTTGTGTTTATTTGTTGTTTATGACCTTTGTAAGAACTATTATTATAATCTTATGAATTAAAATAAAAAAAGGCTCGTTTTCGAGCACAAATCCGTGTCAAAATCAAGGCCGATAGTGCGGATTTTGATACAAAATTAAAAATTCGATACATGATTCTTAACAAAGTCTTTAGGCGCCCGTTAGATGCTTGACTAGCGTCTAAGCGGGGCCTAAAAATTAAAATTAGTGTCTTAATTTTTTATTTTTTTTTACTACCTACAAAATAAAATCATCTAACTTGTAATAATCCACACACCTAAGCCCAATAATAATATTATATATTATAAAGAGAACATAATAACAAAATAATGTAATTAGTATTAAAAAACTAAAAAATTATCGTCGAACCTGCCTAAAAGCGCCTAGGCTCGCCTTGACAGATTTTTTTCAGCTGATTCATGCAAATTGAAGGTGATCGCCTAGGTCGATTTAGAGTATAGTTATGGCGAGTGACGATCCTAGGAGAAACTTGGAATCCACCTTTGACGAGGCTCTGGTCTCCAAGCGACCATTTGGAACAATCCTGCCATCGGGCTTTTGAAGATCGAACTAGATGTCGATGACCCTGATGCCCATCCCTCGGGTTTAGTTACTCATGTAGATGTTGGAGGGTCGATCAACCAGTTTAGAGGTGGACAAAGTGCTTAGATCATCCATGTGCATTCCACACAACCAGATATTGTCCAGGTCGAGCATATGGGACCACCTGCCGTTGGACTGGTCCCCGCAGGACAACAGGTCGTCACACTGACGAAGGAGGAGAGTAACAAAATGATGGCCGATGTCGTTGCAGCTTGATGCGCCCAACAACATATGTCGAATGCAGTAACCCTTACTGTGATGACGAGAAAGGAAACATATGTATAGATATCGAGCAGCACAGCTGGAGGAGCCCATTGCGACCCTGCGATGGAGAGCATGGCAGAACAAATCAAGGAGTTACATGCAAAGGTGGAAATAAAATGGAGAGAGCTTGTGGGCATCCCTTTGCCCAGATAATCTTAGACACCGACCTGCAGAATGGATTCCGGGAGCTCACCATTATCTATGATGGGCCCACAGATCCAGCTCGTCACTTGAGATCGTTTGAGAACATGGCCCTTTTACACATCTACTCAGATTTAGCTGCAGGGAATTATTGGCGACCTTGCAGGGAGGAGAGATGATTGGTTTCACCAGCTCACAAAAAATAAGAAATATTACAATACATGGAAAGACAACTGAATTAATAAGAAATATTACAATACATGGAAAGACAACTGAATTAATGTCAAACAATATGATTTTTTCAAACAAAGAAATAATATGTCATTGATTAAGCTATCATTTATTAGGAACGTTAATGAAAAATTAAACAAAGTAGGATATTAACCGAAAATGGATGAAAACCCAAATAATCTTACTAATAATTTTGCCTACAATTTATCGAGTTAAATAAACGCAGTCTCATCTGCTATTAACATTGCTACTAGTAGAGCAAGAAACTATTCAATCTAATAACAAATTTTACATCGCAAGTTACTCAAGGTAGCAGTGTCAAACAGGCAGCAATGTAAACAAAACACCATCTACCACAAGCCTAAACACTCTATATACCCAAATAAACAAAAACCTAAGAGCAATACCATACACAAACCCAAAGCCCCAAGCAGAATTTCGCTCCCATCACCACGAATCTCCTCTCCAGCCTTGTTTTTCAGCATCATGCTGTGCTTTCCCTCCCCAGCATCCGCCACCTTTGGACGGCCAACCGATCTCATCCCACCCACCACCACCACCACCACCACCACCACCACCGCTCTCTTCCCATCCGCCTCCCGTTGTTGGCCTTTTCACCGTGTCACCAACATAAGGTTCTTCGATTGTGCCTTGAGCACCATTCTTTGTGTTTCTACTAGACATCCGTGCCTTTTTTCGCTCCACCATACTTTTCTCCTCAAAATGCCGCTTCTTTCTTTTCCCAACCCACCGCGGATTAGCAGGTTTATGATTATGTCCTCTCCTGGAAAACTGTGCGCCCTCTTGCCTAAACAAAAGTTCCTTCACTTCTTCACCTCCAATCTTCCCGTCCATAAAGGAGAGAACGTGCCGTATGGAGACATTGATGCATTTGTATATCCTCTTCACCTCCGAGGGGCCCACAGCCCTCGCGACGTTCTGGGAGGGGTCCGTGAAATCCTCCACCTGTTTTTGGAGATCTCGTATAGTTACTGATATACCCTCTCACATCTAGTGAATCTTAAAAAAAAAGGAAAAAAAAATGCATCCGGGTGGTGATCTTTTATTACACTTATGCACGTGACTTTCGAGTCCCAGGTTTTGGAGGTCCAGGATCCGCTGCATGGGCTGGCGCACAGTCCTTTTGGCCAGAGTTTCTCGACTGACGATAACTGTGACGGAAGATGTGTGAGCCAATGTTTTGCAAAACATGGAGATCTCATGATGGTGGATTTTATATTGAAACGAGAGTAACCTACTCTCCATTTATACCGACTGATAATGTAAGTATGTAACCATCGAAATATGTATACCTTGAACAATAGAGTGATGAAGAGCTCAGACAATGATTCTTTATTTCGTTTTCCATAATTTGAAAATTTGCGCACCGACTCAACCAACTTTTCTGGATCTGTACCATCTGCTACAGAGTAATATTTATTAAAATAAATAAATACAGTGATAGGCAATGAAAGGAGGCAGCCAACATAATTATCGATTTCATGTGATGAAAAAAAAAAAAAAAA